AGGGACAGGGTGAGCAGTCCAACCCTATGCGGAATCATTGTTCCTGGTGGGGCTCAAGTCAGGGTTTTCACATATGCTGATGGCACATCCATTTTCATGTCATGCCACAGCAACCTTGAGGTGGTACAGAAGGCACTTGAATGGTACAAAAATATCATGGGGGCCAAGATTAACCACAACAAGTCTTCCGGTTTGCAGTTAAGTACCTGGAAGGCAGTCACTCTTCCGAGGTTTGTTGGTTGGACTGATGAACCCATCCACATTCTTTGAGTGTGGTTCGGGCCCGGACTCCAGCGAGAGAAAAATTGGTCAGAAATACAAGGTCAGAGTGTCAGTCCAGACTTGGCTCTAAAGGAGGTTGTTCTTGAAGGGTAGGGCTGGAGGCATGTACCACTTAAGTCTTTCCTCTCATCCTTTACCAGTTGTATGTACTTCCTCTCTGCAAGGACCATAAGCAAACGTTCACATTTTTTCCACCTTCTTGAGGTGGCTGCAAGCAGGTCTGCAGAGAAGTCCATGTCCAGCATCCATGTAATGGGAGGGCTGAGATTGCCACACTTAGGGAGTTATTGACATGCCTTAAGGTTGGCTTTCTTATGCAGTGCTTTGACAGAGGATAAGTTCTTGGAGGGGAGTGTTAGGGACACTTTCCCTAGCCTTGCCATCATTCCTTTCATTCCTAGGGCTGAGCACTGTTGTAGACCCTGGAAAGAATGTCGAGCAGCCTTGAGGGTCATTTCTTGGTCCAGTGAACTTTCATGGCCTAGAAAGGTCTTGTATCATGAATTAGTGGAGGGAGTGTGCTCTTTCTGGTTTTGGGCACCAGCAGCAAATTACCTCAGTAACCCTGATTTTTCACTTACCTGATGATTGATTTGGAATGTGATATCTCTCAATGACATGGCCTTCAGAGGGGGCATGGCAGATTTGCCAGACTTATTGGTGTGACCTTGGTTTAGAAGAAATGACTTTGTACGCCTTCTACCACTGTCCTCAAGTGCACTCTTTCTGAGACTATGTTGGCAAGTTGATGGCTTGTATCACTCCTGAAAAACTACTACTCAACAATCTCGTATACACAATAATTTGAATATAAGAAATTTTTATGTCATAGAGTGTTTCTGTAGGTAACCATGTGTGTATGGGGTATTGCGATATATATAGGAATGAATGGTGAAGAATGACTTCTTGTGGCAAATGAGTTACTTGTAATGAATGAATGGGTCATGAATCAGATTAGCTAGGTATAAGATAGTTAATGATGATCAGCCTTACCCCACTTCCCCTTTTGGCCTTGTGCCACAATTGTTGTATTTTTACAATAATAAAATCAAGAGTTTACTTCTAGCTGTCCCAGGGCAAACAAGGAGTTATTGAGAGATGCATTATCATAGATGACACCAAGAGATTGTAAACATCCAGCAGATGCATTTTGCTATATCTGTGGTGAATCTATCAGGACAAGAGTGAAAAAGTACTCTGTGGAAATTGTTTTTCATTTGCATATTTTGAATTTTATTTTTTGTAAACCAGTGTTACTGTAAAATATGTATTAAATATGTTTCAACAATCATGCATTAGTGCCCACAGTATCATAGATGTTTTCTATACTGGATCACTGGCAAGAACCATAAAAATACAGAATATTCAGTATTCAAAATTCTGTATTTTTGTGACATTTACTATATTAATTGGGGGTCCAAAATCAGTATTTTACATATACAGTGCATAATTTTTAGAAATTTCAAAAATGTAATTTCTTTTAGAATTTTTCAATAAGACTGGGTGAAATTTATATTTTGCTCTTTTGCAGGTACAGAAGGGAAAATAAGTGTCATGAAATTCATAATCCCATGAATTTGGAGGGAACCAACTAACCATTCAAACAATTGTTTCTTCTGCCTGATGGACCCTTCCAAATGTCAAGCTAACAAGAATGTACCTGCTATATCATAACCAGACCTTCTGTCATCCATTACTCCAGTGCCACACTGCCCCGAGCTCTTTTGTACCCTCCTCCAAAAAAGAGAGCAGCTGTCTTCAGAAGAGAACAGCAATTTGAAGAGGATGAAATTATTGATCCAGATTACAGAGATGCAGCTGAGGAGAGAAACCTAACCAAAACAACCTGATCAGAGATTTTGGTCTCACAAAGTCCAATGCCAAGCTTTTTGACGTCATGACTCAACAGTGGAATTTGTTAGATGAAAGTGTGCAAGTCACAAATCAGAGAAAAGCATCCCCAGTGTTTATCAAGCTTTTTTCACCCATCAAGATGGGACTTTGCTTCTGCCACAATGTGACCAACCAGTTTGTTCAAGGCATTTGAATTGTCTGTAACCCCAGCAAGTGGTGCCTCTTTCTCGAAGCTCATCCAGGAGCCCTCAAAGCTGTGCTGCTTCATAATGGGAACATGTATCCATCTCTTTTCCCTGGATCACTCAGTGCAACCCAGTGTGGAATATAGCAGTGTCAAGATCTTGCTAGATGCCTTGAAATATGTATAGTACAGTTGGGAGGTTATCAGAGATTTCAATGTGTCTTCAAGGAAACTTTACCAAGTGTTCCATGTTATCTTTGCCATTAGGATAGCAGTGACACTGCGCCACATTACCATAGGCGGAAATGGCCACATCAGACCGAAGTTCAGTGTGAGGACAAGCAACATCAAATGGAGTCACTGTTGAACCACCGGAATGTATTGTTTCCACCACTGCATTTAAAATTGGGCCTTATGAAACAATTTGTAGTTTTCAATTACCTTCAAGACTTCTTTCCAAAGTTGTCTGTGGCAAAAGTTTGACCACAAATAAAGATCATAGAATGCAAGGAATTCCCCAAGAACCTCACTGGGGTGGGGTGTACTCAGAGACAAGGTGAGCACTTCCAACAGGATATCCTGAACTTTGAACACTGCTACCAAGGATCGATGGGTTGACTATACTTGGGGGTTAATTCATGAAATAAATTTATAGTATAAGCGTAAATCATGAAAAAGCTACTTTTGAATGACATTGTTTTGTTTCTACTTTGTGTGAACGAGAATATTCATATTTGCTAGTTTTCCCAGTGGGAATAGGTAAATCTCAGAAAAAGCAATGTTTGAAGGAAATTAGCCATAATACTTGCTACCCAAGGACAAAAATTGTGTTACACAGTGTAATTTTTTTTATCTTTGAGCATTTTGACAAGTGAGGACATACCTTGCTAGTGAAAATGTATTTTTGTTATAATAGTGTGCAAAAAGTGGGTAATGTTTTTTTTTAAAATTATTTAATCTTTAAATTTACCATTTTTCTTCTTATATATATATATATATATATATATATATATATATTTATATTTCTGGAACAGATATTAGTTTTTAAAGCATTTTATTTCTCTTTTGTCAGCATCAAATTCACTAACCAAACTGAGCAGAATAGTGTTTGTTGTTTACTTTGTTGTTTTAAAAAGTCCAAAATCTTTTTAAGGATGTAAAATAATTTTTTTTTTTTTTTTTCTTTGAAAAAAAAAATAATCTGTAAAAAGGTTTGAAATGCATTTCTTTCTTGGAGATTTTTTTGTTTTAATTCCAAACTAATGGAATAATATTTCTAATACTTTGATCTTTCCTCTGAATAATAAAAAATTTCACAATAAAACTTTGTTTTTATTAAGTTTGGGATATTTTTTCATCATGTATGCTTTTTTTTGTGAATCTTTGAGGTACCCTTCAATGATACACAATATGTAAGGTTCAAAATAAATTTTGAAAATTAAAATCTTTCTTAAAGCTTTTATTTTAGCTTTAATTTCAAGCTAATGTATTATCTCTAAAAAAAAAAAAAAAAAAAGACAATTATCTGATTTGTGCAAGAATTTCCAAATGAATGTTTTTAACTGCAAAAATGACGTTAAAATTTCCTAAGTATTTATCTTTGTCCCCCGCTAATGTAGGAAAAAGATTTAACAAAATTTCGAACATTCTAAAAAATATTAAAACACTATAAATAATCAAAAATACTTTGTTGGTCTTTTTTTTCTTTTTAATATTTTTTTTTCGTAATGGTATGTCCTTTTTCAGCGAATTTGTGGTGGGGGGAATACTAATTTTTCAAATAAAATACAACCATAATAAAAATAAAATCCACTTTTTTTTTTAGAAAGTCCGTGGAGGCAGCTAAATATTTTTACATCCAAGAATTAACAATAACATTCATGACTCATAACAAAAATTAAGTAAAATAATTACATTTTTTTTTTTTTTTTTTTACTTTTCAATGGAATGCCAGTTCAAATTATCTAAAATTAAAAACTCGTGACAGGTAATGAGAAAAACTAAATGAAGTAGCATGCATTTATTTCAGCAGAGATTAACTTGACTCGATCATTTTAGATCGGCAATTAGAGGTTCAGTTTTGTTTAGAAATAAGTATCAAAAATGTAATTGTAAAAGTAAAACTAAAAAGTGTACTGTGTAGTGTATGTAAAGTGTAAAATGAGCCATATTTTTATGCCCGTTTACGCAAGAAAAACTGCATAAAAAAGACAAACTAGGAAGAGAAAATGTCAAAACATTCAATAAAATAGTTATTTTTAATTTACGAAATCATTTTTTAATAGTGGCGCAGAATGAGAATAATACACTTTCGCTGTCATATTTGCTTTGCATAAAACGAGTACAAAAGCAAGGATCAGTTTTTTTAAAGTCACATGAAATTGAACAAGATAGATCAACTGATTTTTTTCCCAAAGACAAAATGAAAAGTTCGAAAAAAAAAAATGAATGTCATTTTAACAAAAACAAAACGAAGTATAACTAGAAAAAAAGTATTTTCAATCATACAAAAAGAAATTTCTTCGGTTAACCAAAAATCATAAATCTCTTTTATGTACTAATTTAATTTTTTATACTCAGAAAATAAAGTGATAGGTTTATAACTCAAGTAAAAGTAAGAAAAAATTAGTTTTTAAATGTTGAGTACTATTGCAGGAGAAAAAAACTATTATTAACTTACCGTGCACAAGCCAAAGCTACAAGTGCAGATGCAGCATTTACACGTTCACTTTGTTTACTGACTGAAGACATATAGGTATCCAATTCAGGACGTTTTTGCTGGTGAGAATATCTTTCCGGATTTTGAGTAGGTTGGCTAGATTTTGCCTCCAGCCAATTACATAACAGCTGCTCCAGTCCTTTCATGCAGTCTGTAGGTTCCTTAGAAAGGCTAAAAGGAGGACAATCTTTTAGACACTCAAGTAATACACTTGCAGAAACACTGCATAAATCTGGATCATTTCGACTCATAGATTCAAGAAGTGGTAATACAAGTAATAAGCTGATCCTAGTAGAAAACGAAGCCTGTTCAATGTCTTTAAGACTACCTTTTTTTTCCATACTGTGGCATCGTCAGAGCCTTCTCTATCTGTTTGTTGGTCGTAAATGGACGCAGCAACCTGGCGTTGAGCATTCCAAAACCGCAAAGTGCATTCAGCCGGTATTCAAAAGTCTGGAGTACGCGTTGTTCCGAGTACCACAAATTGACATAATGTTCGCTCAGTTCAGCCGGAGTTTTTGTATCCAGGGTAACCACTTCGTGCTCGCCGCTATCTCTAACGTTATTAACATCTTGAGGAAGCTCAACAATGTCTGATAGATTTGAAGTAGACCATCATGAAGAAAAAGTGTTTCTTCAGTGATGGACAACCACTGGGAGAGATCTTGTTCTTGACTGTTACAAGCATTACTGCCAGCACTGATACCAATGCTAATGCTACCATTACCAGCGCTGCTAACTCCGCTGTTTGGTGCACTAGTGGTACCGTTATGTTGTGTACTTATGTTATTCATCATCAAGCAAAAATTATGATTTAAAAAAAAAAGTTATCACAGGGATAAAGACAAGGAAGGTAAATACAAGATGTGAATTTAAAAACATCTGTTTGGATATAAACGATAGATTTTCGAAAAAAAAAAAATAAAATTATTATAAGTTAATTGTATCATGTGTTGATTTAATTTGCTTTAAATATATAAAAAAAATGTGTTCAACACTAAACACTAAAAAACAGAAATGAGACAACTTGCCATTAATTTCTTGTTAGCAACAAGCAACTAGCTTTTGCTGATAAATGTTCAAAGTAATCTCAACATTATAATAACCGGTAGAATACATTAATAAAAGTCTTTTCAAAACATGCAAACATGTTCATGCATTTTTCGAGGACCATTTCACATAAACTGCAAACCTCCCACCAAATCCTCTAGAACTGAAAAGATCGAGGTGATAGCTGCTACCCAATATGTCTTCCATATTTATGACGTCACGGCAGTAACAACAATAGTGTCAAAAGAGTAATGATCCAAACTTTTCAATATATATAAAATTTGAATAGCTAACAGTAAAAAAAAATAAATAACTGAACTTCAAAAAAAAAAACTTATTTTAAATACAATGATTAAGTCCTTTTCATTTCGTTATACTTGTTTTGACGGGACGTTAGTAACATGGAGTCGACATGAAACTGAGAGTCGTAAATAAGCTTAGTTTAAACGGTGTTAAAATGAAATATTCCCCCCTTTTCAGTTGTACCACCAACATGAATAGAAACAAGTAAATAACTTAGCTAAGGAACACGATGTTACAAAACATATATACACAATATTAAGTTATATTTTAATTTTATGCTAAAAAAAATCTTACTTAACTCAAGCATAACGTAAAAAATAAAAACCGTTGAATTATAGTCATTAGTAAATACGTGTTTTAGAAAAATAATTGTACAATTAAAATTTCATCTGCTGAATTGGAAAAACTCCAATTCATTATTTTAAGAAATAAATGTTTGTAATCTTTAGCAAACTACTTACTGTTTTAATATAATGAATACTACTGAATTAAGGTTAAATTGCTTGCACAACACCGAATTAAAGCGTTGGTTAAATTAAATTTTTAAACTTTTTAAAAACATATTGAGTTCCCTGGCAGTTGGGAGTTCAATCTCTGCGTCTATTAGTGTTGAAAGCTGAAAAGTCACATACTCTGATTTTTGAGTGGAAGAAACGAACAGGCAACACAAGGGTGAATAAAACTAGCGAGGAGTAACTGATACGAAGTATCTCCAAAAACTGGAAAACGAAATTAGAAAACTACTCCCGTAAATAAGGGATGAGTATTTCATAGCAAAAATGAAAATGTCGCACAAAGCAAAAAAATGGGGAAGACTGGTCATCACTGTTCTTAACTTTAACTTACTAGTTACATACACTAATTCAGTCACACTTTGTTTGTGTTTTTCTTCACTTTTTTTACAACCTGCTGTGGAGCGAAGACAGAAATAAACACCAAGACAGTCAAACACCAAATAACAAAAAATGGTTTGAGTCGGAGGGTTGAGCATTGTTCCAGTTAAAAAGATTAATGCTTCAAAAATAAATGTTTAACATTTTCCAACCAACGGGTCGCGTTCCTACCAACAATAAAAACATGCTTCGTGATCCCTTTGAAGGGTATTTAAGCAAAGTTTCCAGATAGACAAACAAAAAAGGCGAGACAACTGGCAACAAACAGCAACAGGTCACGATGCTCGACTTTCCTTTACACGTTCACCCGTCTACCAAGCAACGAAACACTTACACTTTCCTCCACACTTTTTCACTCGCCTCTTCTTTCTCACACATGTCTGAAGAAATCACATATATTTTCATCTTAGAAAACAGCTATCCACTGGGCTTAGGGTGTAAAGATAAGTTATACGAGACCGGCCGCTGAAAAGTCGAAACAACACAAAGATGACACGAGACGTGGTAAACTTAACTTTATTTAAACACTCCGCTATCCATCTTGCTCCCAGCATTCCTTAGTGGGACCAGAAGTGCTTACAATCATCATCATAATCAACATTATTGATGTTGTTATAACATCCCCCTTCCTAAGTTAATTTATTTTCTTTATTAATTTATTTCTAACTTTTCCAAATTACAAAATAAATAATTACAAATCGAAGTTTGTTTTGATTACAGTCCAAGGGCGATAACTCACTCACATTTTTTTCTTTTCAATTCTGTGCTTTTTTTTTTTTTTTGTCTCCGTCGCTGATTAGTATGCATTTCCTCTCAGCTCTATTTTAGGTCTGGTTGGATTATAGTATGATAGAATTGGCGTTTAAGTTAGTAATTCCTTTACTCATTTAAAAGAATTCTCTAGTGGGTAATCCCACACAAATATAGCGTCCATTTATAATAATTCCATCATTGGTTGTATTATTTCAGACAAGTTCGGTAAGAATTTTCCTAAGTATCTAAATGTTGAGTGTAACGGAAGTTAATCCCCTTACACAAATAGGAACAGAGTTGAAGCCCTTGGGGACGACGACCCGGATGTACTGTAATGACGTCGTAAATAAACTCACAGTTGGATTATAATCTGTTTTCGTCTTATCATTCTTCTTAACACAAGCATCATGTAACATGGTGACAGCTGTCTATTGGACTTTGATTTTAATGTCTGGGGACGTTATTTCTGCCTGAAACTCCCAAGTAAGAAGTATTTCATCTGTTATCGTCGAATGTTTTCTCTTGTGTAATAGCGAACTCATCTCTCAACGTGTGCAGTTATATCACGAACTTGTTTGGTCCTATCTGCAAGAAAATTTGACGTTTAGTCTCTCATCTAGCAATGAATCAGGTACCCATGCCATTGCGGTTGGTGTTAAAGGTTTACACATAACATCCCCTTACGCCTGTTTTTTTTTTTTTTTTTGCTCTAACAAAGCTGAAGCGTGGAAACTATTTCGCAAACGGTGGACGAATTATACTCTCTTGTCTGGACTATATGAAAAGCGGAGGGAAATTCAAGTGGCTATATTTGAAAATTGCCTTGATGACGACGTCCTGAAAATATATCAAGGTATGCTTTTCACAACAGATGAATCTGAACGGACTGTCGCAGTAATTATAGATGCTTTGGTGGAATATACGATCGGTTCTACCAACGAAACCTACAAACGTTTTCTGTTTCGACAACGAAAACTGTAGCGGACCGTGGGTTTACGTGTTATTAGAAGAAGGTCCACTACAAGAACATGGCGGACTCAGAGATTGAATCCACCATAAAGAAAACCAACAAGACCGATATATATATATATATATATATATATATACAAGCATATATATTGAAGAACAAAATTTACAATGGACATAGACATTAACATTTAAGTTTGTATGTGAACGTAAAGAGTTTGTATTTTGGTGAATGTTTGTACGTACGTGTGTGTGTATAATGTTCATGGCGTCTCCACAAGTGGGAAGATGTAATCTTCTGCGAGCTTACATTGTAGCTGTGTTCGCTGAAAATAAAGAAATGAAATAGAGGATGAGGCAAGAAATCGCCCAGTATTTATAGTGGAGGGAGAGCGTGCCCTAGTGAACAATTAAGAAATTAAAGGAGTTAATCCCCCGACAATACCCCCCTCAGTTTGAAAGTTGCAGGAACGAAAACTTTTAATATGTAAAAAGTTATAAACTGAATAGAGAAAGTGTCCAAAATGGTTGACGCATGTTGAAGGTGAAGACGTGATTTCTGAAATGTTATCAGATGAAAAAGTCGTGAAAGTATGTGCATTGTCAAGGTGCTGAAATTATATTCGGAGTGAATGCATAGCACAGTCTGAATGAATATGTATCGACGAAGTGCACACATATCTTCAGGGTGAATTGCTGTTAGCCGACGCTGTTGTGTTTAAATGCCTACTTTGATTCCAATTCTCCGCGTAAATTCAGTAAGTCGAGATGCGTATTCGAGTAGTGTACTGTAGAACGTCGTGGCGAAGTTGAAAATTATTTAGTGAATTTCGTCAGCAAATTTTTATGTGGAAGTTGCATCTCGTAGAATGTATTTCACGACAGTGGGTCGTCCGAAGAATGCGTCGCTTAGAATTTAATTCTGGACAATGAGTCGTCCGAAGAATATTTCACATTTAATCTCTTCAGCGTAGAAAACTTTTTGTACATTAAAGGCATGGTAGGCAATGTTGAAATGTTGATAAGCAGTTGTGTGAAATGTCGCATGTGGTGTAGAATATATGAAAAGTTCATGGAAGTTTTGAATATTGTCCTTATGAACTGAAAAAAGAAAAGGTGTAGGAAATGTGGTTGAGATGCGTGTTAAAACGTTTCGACGAAATGTTCTCGTGTCAAAGGTTGGACTGGTCGTGTCGACGGTATGATTGAGATGCAGACGTTTCGGTCGGGTTGGCGGTTTGGAGTTGAGGTCAACGATGCGATGCTGAGGTGCGTTCGTTCCGGTCGTGTCGACGATTGGACGTTGAGTTCGACGACGCGATGCTGAGGTGAGTTCGTGCTGGTCGTGTCGACGGTTGGACGTTGAGGTGCAGTGACGAGGTGCTGAGGTGAGGTGTGTACGTTCGGTCGTGTCGACAGTTGAAAGTTGAGTGTAGGCATTGCTGGTTGAGGAGGTCGGTTTCGAAACCACCCGTAGTAATTACATCCGATAGTATACAGGAAAGGTTGGTCGTTGCAGAGTGAAGATAAAGTCATCTTTGAGATGTGGTGTTGCACTCTCTGGAAAGTATGTGTAAATGTGAGTTTGTACATATATGCAGTCTTGTGTTTCTGTTAGCAGGAGTTACAAAAATAAATCACGTTGGAAGGTCACCAATCTTTAGCGGACCGTGGGTTTACGTGTTGTTAAATTAGGAACACGTATGTTTATTCATGCTAGAAGAAGGTCCACTACAAGAAATGGCGAACACAGAGATTGAATCCACCATAAAGAAATGTAAAGAAAACCAGCAAGACCGATGTATATATACAACAAGTATATGTATTAAAGAACAAAATTTACAATGGACATAGACATTAACATTTGTGTATGTGAACGTAAAGAGTTTGTATTTTGGTGAATGTTCGTACGTACGCGTATGTGTGTATAATGTTCATGGCGTCTCCCACAAATCGGAAGACACAATTTTCTGCGAGAAATTACATTGTAGATGTGTTCGCTGAAAATGAAGAAATGAAAAAGTGGATGAGGCAAGAAATCGCCCAGTATTTATAGTGTAGGGGGAGCGTGCCCTAGTGAACAATTAGGAAATTAAGGAGGAGTTAACTCCAACAAAACAAAGTGAGGGTGAATCCTTCGACAATTTTCTCATTAATTTGCAAGTTCTATCCAATAACATGCCATTTTTGTAACAAGTACCGAGACTCCATGATAAAGGACCGAATTGTTACTGGTATAAGGGACCATGACACAAGACAAAACCTACTGAAAATACAAGGCTTGATCTTCAGATGGCAATAGACATTTGTAGAGCAACGGAGAAAAGCTGCTGCACAGAGCCTAGGGATGAGGACTGAATCAACCCATATTCATGAGATGAAGGTAGCTGAAGAAAAGAAGTATGCATCACAACCAAGGATGCTAATATCGTGGTTTCTACCACACTCCCAGTCGGAACAAATGTCTTACATATGGAAAGACTTGCAATGCATGCAATGGAAAATTTTCGGTTCAGATACTCTAACCTAGGACCGAAGACAACCAGAAAAAAAAGCAATGAAGCAAAACGAAAGGGAAACAAGGAAGTTCACAACGGCCCCATATACACTACGGGGACACAGCCTCAGATGAGGACAGTGATGAACACGGACAGTGGGTGAATGTTGTCTCTTCAAAAAGAACAACAAAGATGCTAAAGTGCATGATGTTACTAAAAAGAAGTGGTGGTATTCCAGATTGACACTGGAGCGTCTGTTAACACGTCCCCGAAAGTAATGCGAAAGACATCAGGCCGTACCAAGGAGTCCTAACAATGTGGAAAAAGTTATTGGTGAAACTACTAGGCGTGTGTCGACAGGTTATCAAAAACCCAAAGAACAACAAAAAGTACACGGTGAACTTCCTGATCTTCAAAGATGAGCAATGTCAATTCCTGTTTGGGCTTCGAGCATGTGAACAGATGGGTGTTGTTGCCATAAAAAAACGATAACTTTCACCGCATTTCGGCTATAGCGGTGGAACAGGAGTTCAAGGGTGTGTCTAGTGGCAAACTTAGCGAGTTACCCGGAGTTGCATCATTGCAGTTTAATCCTGATGCCATCCCAGCTGTGATGGCAAATAGAAGAGTGCCTTTTTCAGTCCGGCCTCAATTAAAGACAGAATTGAGGAGTTTAACTAAATTGAGTGTCATTGAACCCGTAGACAATCATACATCACGGGTTAGTCAACTGGTTATAACTAAAATAAACATGGTTCCCTGAGAATATTTCTGGATCCCCATGAGCTCAATAAAGCTTTTATCCGGGAATACTACACCATCCCTATCCAGGAAGACGGACTCCATGACATGAAAGATGCCAGAATTTTTACCAAGGCAGACCTATCTTCAAGATATTAGCATATAAAGCTTGATAACGAGTCCAGTGACCTTCCAGATATGTTTTGGGTGTTTCCGTTGGTTGAGATTGCGATTTAGACTGAACTCTGCTTCAGAAAACCTTTCAGAGGAAAATCCTTGAGCACTTTTAGGACTTAGAAGAGACGGCGATCATCGTTGATGACATAATGGTATTCAGTACTAATTAGGAAGAGCATGATAAACGGGTACAGGCACTTTTGAAAGATATCAGACAACGGAGTCAAACTCAACCCTACAAAATTTCAGATGGGATTGTATGCCATTATCTTCATGGGACACAGGATCACAAGCAAAGAGGTAGACCCAGAGAAAGTTTGTGCAATCCGGAACATGGATACCCTGGAAGATTCCTGAGGATGGTTAATTATGTGGGCAAATGTATCCCCACTTAACCTCCATCATCAAGCCTCTTCAGGGCCCCATAAAAAGCAGGCAACATGGATGTGATCCGAATCACAACAAGTCGCATTTGACTCAGTGAAGAAATTGATCAGTAGGGCACCAATACTTGCCTACTCTAATCCACATGAGGATTTGATACTGGAAAATGATGCCAATGAATATGGCCTGGGAGCAGCCGTGAAGCAAAAAGAGAGACCTGGTGCATATGCAAGTCGTTCACGCTCGGGCACGGAACGACGTTATGTACAAATAGAAAAAAGAAATGCTGGTAATGGTCTATGGACTGGAGAAATTTAACCACTACACACATGGAAGACGTGAAGGTTTTGACAATGCATAAACCTCTAGCGTTAATTTGTGCAAAGCCACTATCAAAAGCACCTAAAAGGCTGTAAAATCTACTGATCAGGACACAGCAGTATAACTTCTCGTTACACTACAGACCCAGTAAGAAAACTCCACTGGCGGATGCCCTTTTGTGCACTAACAGTCAGGCCATTAAAAAGAACTGCTGATGGTGAACAATCTGACACTGCTTCAATTCAAGACCATAGGTTGACACAGATACACGACTGAGGACGTAACAATGATATTGCTAGCCACAATTACTGCCAAGGGGTGACCCATTGAGAGGAGATACCTGCCTGACAACATCAAACCATTTTTGACTATCTGGATGAGTTGACAGTACAGGACAGGTTATTCCTGCGTGGACAAAGAGTTATAATTCTGTGGACATGACAGTGAGACTAACCTTAGCTCTCGACATAAGAGGGTTCGTTTGTGTCTGGCGTGCAGGGCAGTAATTGGTCCGAAGGAAGAAACACCACCATTACGGTGAGTCGGACTTATGGGAAACGCGATCTTGTAGCCGCGAGAATTGGCGAGAGGTGAACTTGGCCGTATGCAAATTGGTTGGTGTTCGCTGGCATAAATGTGACGGCGGGAGACCGCTCGACAGAGTTGTGTGTAGCGAACTACGAGGCGGTGCTGGAATAATTGAGTGCAAAGATCTGTGGAGTTTTGTAGCTAGATTGTTTTGAGCAATCTGTCTTGAAGCTGAGGAGTTTTGTTTCTTCCGGAAGTAGGCGGTGCCGGGCCAACCCGTTCCCTTCCTATTGTTTGGACCTAATTTTACTACAAATTCCTAGTGCCATGCGTCAAGAAATGAAGCCGAAGGCTTGTGTTAGCCATTTGGGTATCAATACATGTCCGCGGAGGGCAAGAAACCTTCTGTTTTGGCCAGGTATGTTAGCTGAGATTAGACAGTATGTGGAGGCTACATGTGCAACATTCTCGGATCGCCAACCAACAGAACCCCAAGTAGTCATTGTCGTTCTAGAAAGGCCCTGGAAAAAAGTGGCAACTGACCTCATGACGTGGGGCGAAAATGAATATTTAATCACTGTGGACACTCATAGCAACTTCATTGAAGTTGATCATCTAGTTGAACTAACATTAATTGCAATGATTGAGTAACTTAAGAGCCATTTCGCACGCTAGGGCATACTTGATGTTGTGTTCTCTTACAACATGACCCAGTTCATATCCTACCATTTCAAGAAGTTTGTAAAGGTATGGATGTTTCGACGAAACCATATCGCCAGGTAACCCTAATGGAACAGCAGAGGAGCAGTCAAATACGTTTTATTTTTCTCCATTCTTTTGTATCTGCAACACGTACTTTTGTGTCCTATTCTCCCACATTTATAGCATTTTTTGATCTTGAAGAAACAATCACTTTTAAAATGGTTACCTCCACAACCATAGCAAGTATTAGGTATTGAGAGGGGGTTATAGTATCTCTTTTTATTGTTCTGTTAGTCGTTGAAAAATGTTTGTAGTTTTTTCTATTAGATAGTCGGACATTATGTACCTGTGAATTGTCTTTTTTCTCAATCTTTGCGGTAAAGAGTTTCAAATTCACAATACATTGACACTCATTGGCTATTTTCTGGAGAGTTAATTTAGAATCCATTTCTAATTTAGCAAGTGCCCTGGATCTTATCTCCACATCCTTATTAGAAGTTAAACCCTGTACGAATGTCAGGCATTTAAATAAATCAGGGGTTAATTCATTTAACTTGAACTTTTCACATTCTTGATTCATGACTCCTGCATAAGTGACAAAATCTTCATTGTCGGATTTTACCAAGTTAAGACATTGCCCTCGTTTATTAAATAATGAACTCCTGTCACCAACAATCTCATCAAATTTTATCTCTCCTGTTTTTTTCGGCAAAATATAACTTACATATTTTTTTCATGTTCAGGGGGGACAATTTCTTTAATAATAACCGAATTTTCTTTTCATCATTCCAATGCGAACAATCCCTTTTGAAGATCCTTCGTGTCTTCTATAATAAACTGAAAAGTTACACTTCATCTGGATTGTACACAAATTCACCGATTGAATTAACAACAACATTTGGAGTGAATGAATTTGAAGTTTTCCTTCCATCGTTTTGGTAAATAACTAAAAAAAAACTTCTGTTGTTGTAGTTGTAATTACTGTTCATGTTGTTGTTTTTGTTGCCGCAATTGTTGTTCTTGTTGTAGCTTTTGTTGCTGCAACGTTTGAACCATGATAGCTTTCAATTCTTCCATTCCGCTGTGCTCTGCTGAATATTTTGTAAATTGTTTTTCCTCGTGTAAATTGAATGAATCCTCATGTAATTTCAACGAATCCTCGTTTTGTGATGTTGTAGCGGAACCCCCCGAGCGGCCCCGTATCACACAAGGGTGAACGAGGTCACAAGAGGCCCGCTAACATTTTTGAAGACGTTAAATCTGACGGTGAAACAATATAGACGACAGAACGAGGATATGTATGATAAACGCTAATTTATTCAGGGAAAGAAAAAGGAAATAAAGATGGTCGGAACGGTGGAGGTGCAGAAGTTTTAGTGCAGGCATTGATGGTCGAGGTTGGTGTTCGTAGTTGCCAGGATGATCGCTGTTGGTTGTTGGAGTTGATGTTGGTTGTTGCCAGGATGATCGCTGTTGGTTGTTGAAGTTGATGTTGGAGTTGAAGTTGGTTGTTGGCAGGATCATCGCTGTTGATTGCTGCAGTTGATGTTGGTTGTTGGCAGGATCATCGTTGTTGGGGTTGAAGCTGATGTGGGTTGTTGCCAGGATCACCGTTGTTGATTGTCGAAGTTGATCGTTGCCGGGATGATCGCTGTTGTTGAAGCTGGTCGTTGCCGGGGTGATCGCTGTTGGTTGTTGCAGTTGGAGTTGATGTTGGCCGGGATGATCGCTGTTGGTTGTTGCAGTTGGTTGTTGGCAGGATCATCGCTGTTGGTTATTAATTGATCGTTGCCGGGATAATCACTGTTGTTGAAGCTGGTCGTTGCCGGGATGCCACTTGTTGGTTTTTGTCGTTGCCAACTTGACGTGTTGTTGGTCGTTGCCGGGGTGCCAACTTGACGTGTTGGGAAGGAAAGAAGAGCTGGCGTTGTTCGGGCATGTCACAGGTCTGGTGCAGGCGTTGCGTGTTTGCCGGTCGAGTCCAATATTAGTAACCTCCCGTATTAATTACTAACATAGTGTACGGGAAAGGTTAAGGACGACGTGCAAGCAGCCAGTAGGGACGGAATGCCGATAGTCAAACAGGAGCCAGGAATAGTAGGCGAAGGAGAGAGAGAGAAAGGAAAGTTTCCAACTATCGTCATGTTGGCAGACAAAAAAAATGGGAGCGTAACTTGATACACAGCCCGGTGATCGACGTCCCTGTCCAACGAAGGCCAAGGGGGCTGCGTATCCGACCGTTTCAGTCGCCGAACGCCTTCTTGGATTTAGTGAGAAGGGGCTGTCTTGTGATAAGAGAGACCAGCAAGTGAAATTGGATAAGCTAACAGTAAAGGCTCTATAATAAAATATGACGAGGTTAGCTAAAGAGAACTAAAGCCTAAAAATGACTAGCAGTATATTACAACTAGGTTTGTAATATAACTTAACTAAGTGGGGGATTTGCTAGTCTCTCCCACGGGTTAACAGTGTATAGGGAGCATGAATGAGAGGTCAAGGTCGAAATGACCTGTTCCTCTGCCGGTTCAAGGATCGAAGGAGGAGGTAACCTCGACAATGTCAACGAACACTCGTTGCCACTTTTGTAATGTCAACGAATACTCCTTGTCCCTTTCGTAATGCTCGTTGTAGTAGATACTTTGTAATCGCAAATACAACTATAGTAACGCCGTTGAACAATACTGGTGTCCGAGGCTTTCGAATAACACTTCACACTAATAGTATTTACTCGATAATACTCGCTCGAAAAGTAACCACCGAATAGTGATCCGAATAGTAATCCGTATATTGATCCTAATAATAATTCGTATAGTTAGACGCCGCGCTAATTCCTATATATACATTTCCTTTACCATCATGTGGATTACTTATTCAAAATGGGATCGCCTATGTTTGCTCTCTGGTGATCTGTGTTCAAACTCCAGTGTCGGCAGCGACACTTTATTCTCATATAACAATATCAAAACTCCTTTCAAATATACTGACAAAGTGCGTCACTCTGCAAAGCATTATATAAAAACCACCGAAAAACCAACCAATTCTACGCCGCGAAATCCTGAGAAATATAAAATTGCAAAAAAACAGATTTTTTTTTTTACTAACGTTCACCCAATACAAGCCCCAATGGCCATTCAAGGTAGATGTTTACTCTGTGGAGTTGTATTAGCATAAGAAATGGCAAGATAAAAGGAAAGATAGACTGTTAATACTAGATTTGAAGTTGCTGAAGTTAGCGAATAAAATTTCAAAGTTCAGTCAGAGATTTTAGAAGTATAGAGATGAAGTAAACTTTAGAAGGAACCGGAAACCCAATCTTAAACCGAAACAAGGGATGAACCTCTACTTCTGTAAAAAAAAAATTATGGGAAGAGTATGACCTTATCTACTCCTATTGGGAGAGAACAATGAGTGAAAAACAATTCAGAGATCAGGCGGAGATTTTAGAAGCATAGAGTTGGAAATAGACTTTAGAAGGAATCAGAAACCCAGTCCTAAACAGGAAACATGGGTTAAACTTCTACCCCTGTTCAAAAAACTGGGGAAGAATATGAACAGGCGGATACATTAGTATAGATTTGAACCAGAAAGGAGTGTGAATCAGATGATAGGCGAATCTATTTACTCCTATTGGAGGAGAGAAAAGAGAAAAAATAATAATTAGTGAATAAAATTTCGGCTTCCAGTCGGAGAAAGTAGACTTTAGAAAGAACCGGAAATCCAATCAGTAAAAGTAAATAAACAGTAAATAAAATTACGAAGACGAGCTCTGAATATATGCATTAGGGTAGAGTAAGTTATGGAACAGACAGTATGATATTATTTATTAAGTTTTAACTTACTATTAGTTCAAATATCTTCTATCAGAACAAAATCGAGCAGGGAATTAATACTATTTAATACTATTTATGGCGAGATATATGCTCAGATAAATTAAAATTTTGGTCAGACTGTATAGGCTAACAAAAGATGATATAAAGTCAAAATATATCTATACCCATTTAAAAATGAATGCACATAAATAAAATCAAAACAAAATAAAGTTAGGAAAACTATATAAGAAAACATCTCTGATCTCTCTTTCAGTGAATATCATCACTCGACCGAACACATGTTAAAATTCTGTATAATATATCCATCCATTAAGCTCATGTTCATCACCACTGTACATGGTACCAAAACCAGACATCACTGCCTCGCGTCCATGCAGAGGTTTCCGCTATATTAATGCAGCCAGAACAGCAGATAGGTATCCGATCCCACACATCCATGATTTTACCATGAGCTTACAAGGGACACGGGATTTTACAAAATTGGATTTAATAAAGGCCTATTATCAAATCCCAGTGGAAGAAGAAGACATACCCAAAACAGATATGACCATTCCCTTTGGTTTATTTGAATTCCTTAGAATGCCATTCGATTTACGCAACACATCACAATCTTTCGAACGATTAATCGAC